TGCGGTCCCACCGAGCCCCGGAGATCGCGCACCCCGCGCTGGGCAGCGCGGCTGGAGGTTGGGGCTGAGCTCGGAGCAGGAGGGATTCAGTGTTTACAAACATTTCCGAAGCTAGAAGCGCAGCGGCCTCGTCCTTCGGCTGAACGTCTCCCGGCTCTCATTCCTCTTCTCCATGAGCTTTTTCCAACCCAGGCTCTGCCTCCCTGTTCCCACGCAGCGCTGGGCCGGGCTCATCAACACGCGCTGATTAAGATACAGCTGATTACCATGTGTGACTATCACGAGGGCCAGAGAGAACTATCTCAATTTATTTTCCAGGAACGCTGCTGTTGCCCCAGGGCAGGGGGAGACGGTTGGGAAGCTGGCATGGGCTCGGTGGGCACTAATCTGCAGCCACAGGCTGATCTTAGCTCCTTGGAGCTTCTTTGCCTGCAGACTCACGGGCTGGGGGCTCCCAGCTCTTGCTCAGTGTCGGGGTGCAGCCTGTCCTGTGACTCAGCTTGCCCCGAGCGCCGTGTCCTGCCCTGGGCTCCCCTGGCTGGCGCGCAGGGATGAGCTGCTCACCTGCGTGGGCTGTGCTGTGCCCGCTGGGGCTGCTCCCTGGCACCAGGAATACAGCCTCCACCGGTTCTGCGGCTGTCAGCAGGCAGGGAGAGCCCCACGCCGTGGCATGGGGACATGGGCTGCTCCAGCCAAACCTGCTCGGGGAGGGAGCTGGGTCTGTGCTCTCGCCGCTGGCCTCGGCAGGCTCAGGGGTGCTTGTTACATCAAGTGCTCCTGTCCCTCCACCTTTGAATTTGGGTGGTGGTTGCGGAGGCTGGTGGGACTCGTAGGAAACAAGGGAGATCTCCCAGCATGGCTCCTAGCCCAGACAGGGCACACAAGCCAATGTCCCCCATTCAGGTGACATCCCCTTGTATGTAGTTTTTCATTATCCTATAGACAGTGCTGCTTCTCTGGTTCACTTGTACTGAACCAGCTCAGGATGAGACCTCTGAGGTGTATCAGGCAGGGGATGAGCCTGGCTCATCTGTCCCCCAAGCATCAGTGTTAAACCATGTTTAAAATGCAGTGTGTGAGTGCAATTCCCACACCTGTGCGGGAACGGGTGGCTGGAGCCAGTGGATGAGGGCTTACAACAGTCAGGCTGGTCCTGGACGACGTGGGAGACTGTGCCAACCCCACAGCCCCTCCAAGGGCATCCCTCTTCCCTCTCCCCCCCAGCATCTCCCTGGCCAGTGCCACTGTTGCTGCCCTGCCCTGGTGTCAGCTTGCTCTCACCTTGGCTCCAGTCCCCACACACCTTGCTCAGGGCTGTTGGCAAAGGATGCTTATTCATATGTGAAGTGTTTGGAGGCAGAGTTGAGGCAAGTTTGGAAACTGCATGTAAAGTACATGCAGAGGTGTAGTCAGAGGGTTTTTGCAATGCCCTCAGGCTCGAAGAGTTGGAAGTTCGAGAAATGCAGAGGGAAATATTTATTTGGCAGTTGAAGGGGGGCTGAAGGTCATTTTCTGGCGGTTTGTGGGTGGGGTCAGGAGACCAGCACTGGAGAAGCCTTCCGCAAACTCATGGCAAGACTTGCCTTGGCTCTAACTCCTCCTGTCCCTTGGTGCTGCAGGTTGGTGGCTTTGCCTGGGAGAACTGTGGTGACAAGAGGGACCCTGTGGTGCTGCAGAGCCTCTCTGTGGCACCCGACCCCATCAGCATCCCAGGGAGTCTGCGTGTCAGTGCAGCTGTCAACAATGGCAAGACCATGGCTTCCCCTCTGAAGGTAAGTGCCAGGCACACCTCCGTGTGATGAGGGAGGGCAGAGCTTCCCAAAACCACTGGCAGCTCGGAAATGCCCATCAGTGGGTACAGGAATGAGCAGCCCTTGGGGAGTGAGGCACAGTGTGGGGCAGAGGGCAGTGGGCTCTGTAAGCCAGAAGAGGTCAGTGGGCATGGGGAGATCTGTGTTGGGAACAGACAACCCCGTGGGAGTGTCTCGACCTTGTCCCAGTGAGAGAAACCACCTGAGCGGTCTTGTGTCCCAGGAATGTAATAGCTCAGGGAGGGAAATGAAACCCAAGATCCATGGGTGCTCCTGACAGGCACTGCAGTGCTCGTTTGTCAGCAGCCAGACTTGGCTGCTCCCTCCAAGGATATGCCATGGCACCACTGAGGGAGGCCTGGGCCAGCCCAGCTGTCCTACACACTTTTTTGGAAGTTTTGGAATGAGACAGAACATGTCTCTTTGTCCAGGGTGCATGGGCTTTCCTGAGCAATGCCATGGTGCCTGTTTGGGCCTGGGGCTGAGGGAAGTCTGCAGGGGGTGTGTGGAGACAGAGGTGAGGGATGGGAGCACCCTGTTTTGGGACAGGGCACAGAGAGGGGAAGGAGTGGGATTGTGGGGATATGCTGGGAGGTGTTTGCTCATGGGGCCAAGCTGAGGTCAGAGGAAGAGAAACCTGTAGGCTGAGAGGAACTGAAAGCAGGAGAGGGAGATAGGAGGGTGTGCAGTGACCCGTGGACACCCCAAAGATTGCAAGATTGCATGATCAGGAGCTGAGGGTGTTGGCTGCTGAGAAGGTGTGGAACAGGCTGGAGGAGCTGTGTGTGTCTGTGCTGGTTGTACTGGTGCTGAACAACTTCTCTCCAGGCAGTGCTGGTGGTAGAGAAGGCATTGGGTGACCTCTGGATCCAGCTGCCCTGCATCGACGAGCTGGGCAGCTGCACCTACAATGATGTCTGCACCATCCTCGACAACCTCATCCCACCTGGCACGACCTGCCCTGAGCCCCTGCTCACCTATGGCATCCCCTGCCACTGCCCCTTCAAAGCGGTATGTCTGAACCCTGGGGTGATGCTGGCAGTGCTGATGGGTACCACTGTGCTCTTTGGCATGGGGCTGGAGGGGTTTGGCTGACCTCTTGCCTACATGTCCCCTCTCTCTGCAGGGCTTCTACTCCCTGCCAGCCAGTGACTTTGACCTGCCTGATGTGGAACTGCCTTCCTGGATGACCAACGGCAACTACCGCGTCCGGGCGGTTGTCAGCAATGGTGGGGAGGAGCTGGGCTGTGTCAAGCTGGCCTTCTCCCTGCGGTCCCATTGAGGGGTGGGACACCACCCCTCTTCTCCCCACCAACTTGGTCCCATGTCCCCTCCCAACCAGTTGCACCCCATCATGTCCCAACCCATCCCTGTGAGGTTGATGCCTCTTGCTGTCAGAAGGAGGTAGCCTCTGTTTCCCAGCTTGGTGCCCCCTCCCCTGCTACACCCAGAAAGGCCCCTCTGGCTGTCCTGCTGTCCCCAAACCCATCACCAAGGTGTTCCCTGCCTGGACAGGGTGGCCTTGGAGCCTGATCCTGGCCTCTCGGCATGATCAGGTGGTAGTTATTTTATACCCAGTTTCTCTTTTTTCTCCCCCCCTTAATCCTGTCAGGGCAATTTTAGACAAAAACATTCCAGGGAAAAGCAGTATTTCTTGGAGCAGTCCATGGGGAGGAGGGAGTGTTTGGGAGTGCTGGGACCCTGTCCCACCACAGCAGCTGTGAGTCTACCTTTGGTACATCCCTGTCCTGCATGTGGGACCAGCTTGGTGACATAAGGCGTTTGCAAGGGCACCTCCCTGCACCTCTCCTGCAGCAAACATCAAGAACACAAGAGGACTGAAACCACCTGAGCCCCACATGGACGTTCCCACTCACGAGGGACCAAGCAGCTGGTGATGCTCCCAGCAGCAGAAGAGATGCCTGGCTGGTGGCTGCCTTGCTCTGGAGGGGGACACAACTGTGATGGGCTGCTGGGGCACAGCCTGGATGAGGACCAATCCCACTCATCTCATTTTGCCACTGGGACAGAGACAAGGCAGGATGCTGCATTGGGACCATCCTTCCCATGTACTGACAGAGGCACCGCAGTGTGGAGCAACACCCCAAACATGGGATAACTGGGAGATGACTATGAAGACCAGCAGGCAGGATCCTGTTTGGGGGCCTCCTGCCTGTGGTTGGGGACCACAGCATGGGCAGGCAGCATCCTTCCTGCCTGTAGCTTCGGGCAGGGCATGAATCTGACATCATCCCCCTACACCAGATGCTTGGAGGGCAGAGGTGCAGGTGACCCACCAGCCACCCACATCCTTTGCTGTCCCTGCCTGCTCATGTTGTTCAGCCCCTCCATAGGGCTGGTCTTCTACAAGCACTTTATATGCCTTAACTGCTGCGGGGAGTCCTCTGCCACACAAATGTGCTCCCATTGCCTCTCTGTGCCCTCCACTCGCTTCGTTTCATCCCGTGGCTTTGCCTGGAGAAGCACTAACCCTCTGTCCCCACTCCCCGCCAGCGCCTGTGCCAGGGCAGCAGCCTCCTTTTGGCAGGTACTGCAGATTCTTAATAAATCTTTTTACCAGGAAATGGTGCTGGTGCCTCTTGGTGCTGGGGGTGATGTGGGGGTGACATTTGTTTCCCTTAGAATAATGTGGACCTGGGTGTGAGCTGGGGGAGGTGAAGGTGGTGGGGTTGGGATGGAGGCAGCAGTGGAGAATGCTGTGGACAGAGCAGTTGAGTGTGAGCAGCTCTGAGACCAGCTCCTGTGCAGGGCAGGGTCTGCCAGTACTGCTTTCAGACATGGAAACACAGGGGCACAGCCCTGGGTTCTGGGCCTACTGGGACTCTCAGTGTCACTCGTGGCCATCTATAACCTGCCAGCCTGCATGGCTCTGCAGTCCTTACTGAAGGAACATCCTGAGGGAATGAATCATAGAGTTTTAGGGGTTAGAATGGGCCTTATAGATCATCTTGTTCCATGCATGGGCAAGGGCACCTCTCCACCAGACCAGGTTGCTCAAGGCTTTATCCAACCTAGCTTTGAATGCTGCCAGGGTTGGGGTATCTACTACCTCCCGGGGCAACAGGATAGGTTTAATTTGGATAATGGAAAAAAGATTCTTCATTCAGAGGGTGGTTGGGCACTGGAACAGACTCTCTAGGGAAGTGGTCACAGCACCAAGGCTGCCAGAGCTCAAGGAGATTTTGGGCAACGCTCTCAGGCACAGGGTGTGATTCTTGGGGATGCTCTGTGCAGGGCCAAGAATTGCAGTGGATGACCCTTGTGAGTTCTGAATACTCTGCGATTATTTACTCCTCCTGGGTCCGTCCCAACGCTCTGGGATTCCGTGACCGTCCTCGCTGCGGGGGATGCTCCTCTCTCTGCCCGCCCGGGAAGAGTTTGGGGTCTCATCCCTCTCCCGCAGGACCCGTTCCCAT